AAGGAAAGAAATCCTTTCTAGTTACCGCATTGAGTCTACGGTAATCTATACATACCCTCCATCCATTTTGAATTCGGGTGGGCATAAGTTCTCCATGTTTGTTTTCCACTACCGTGACTCCGGTCTTCTTTGGAACCACTTGGGTTGGGCTAACCCATTTGCTGTCGGAGATGGGGAAGATTATCCCCATTTGGAGTAGTTTGATCACCTCCTTTTTGACCACCTCCATCATAGGTGGGTTTAGTCTTCGTTGCGGCTGTCGTACCGGCTTGGCTTCATCCTCCATTAAGATGCGATGCATGCAAGTAGATGGACTAATGCCTTTGATGTCGGCTATAGTCCATCCAATTTCTAGTTTATGCTCCTTGAGCACCGCTATCAATTTGCCTTCTTGTTCCCCGGTCAATTTGTTTGAGATAATGACCGGTGGTGTCTCGTTTTCCCCCAAGAACACATATTTCAAGTGTGTTGGGAGTGGTTTCATCTCAACTTCGGGTGCCTGCAAAACTGAATGTAGAGGCTTTTCCTCACGGATGGTTAGCGGAAATGCCCTAGACCCCGGTGGCATAAGTGGGAGTTGGAAGTGAGTATCCAATTCCACTATCATAGCTTTTGTGTTGGGGGTCAAGGCAAGTTCTGAAGAGTTTTTCCCGAAGTCATTCTCAAGTATACTTAACAATTCATCCTCTCTATCGATTTCAAAAGTATTTTGTACAAGGGGGTCAACAATATCAATGGCAAATAAAGAATGATTTTCATTTGGATATTTCATGGAGTCATAAATGTTGAATTCAACTTTATCCCCATCAAATTCCATTGTTAAAGAGCCGCTAAATACGTCAATCTTTGCTCTAGCGGTTTTCAAAAATGGCCTTCCTAAAAGGATAGGAACCGCATTCTTATCATTCTCCATTTCCAAAACATAAAAGTCAGCGGGGAAAATCAAATTGTCAACCATAACTAGTACGTCTTCGACAATACCTTTAGGGTAGGCATTTGATCTATCCGCAAGTTGAATGACTACTCCAGTTTCATTTAAAGGGCCAAGCTCAAGTGATTTGTATAAAGAGTAAAGAATGACATTAATTGATGCTCCTAAATCGAGCATGGCTTTTGAAAACGTAGTTCCTCCCAACTTGCAAGGTATAGTGAACATGCCCGGATCATTGTATTTCTTTGGGAGTTTCTTTTGAAAAACTGCCGAAACACGTTCACTAACTTGGACTTTTTGTTTTCCATTGAGTCTATGTTTCCTTTTTATTGTACATAGTTCTTTGAAAACTTTTGCAAATCTAGGGACACCTTTTATCAAGTTAAGGAGAGGGATATTTACCTCACATTTGGAGAATGTCTCATAGATGTCCTTGTCCTTCTCCAGCTTTCGCGTTTCCCTTAGGGCCTCGGGGAAGGGTGCTTCAATCTCGGGAATGACCGGTGGTGGGGTTGGGATTTGAACTTCCACCTCCGGTTGAGTTACCTCCACCAGCTCCTCTTCTTCCTCCTCTTCGCCAATGTGGCTCTTTGCCTTCTCCTTGGCAATAACCAACTCCTTGCCACTCCGTAATGTGACTGCATGGGCTTGTTGCCTAGGATTCGGCTCCGTTTGAGATGGTAGCCTTGCCGAATCCTTAGCTTCAAGCCTACTCACGGCATTTGAGATTTGGCTGATTTGGCTTTCCAAGTTGTGGATGCTAGATTTTGTTGTTTCTTGGAATTGAACCACACTTTGTTGCATTGTTGCCATATTCATGGCGAGTGATCGAATCATGTCTTCGGTTGACATGTTCGAGTTTGAAGTTTGGCCTTGTTGTTTATATTGTGGAGGAGGAAGATTTTATGGTTGAGGAGGTTGAGAGTTTCCGTACCTTAAATTAGGATGATCCCTCCATCCCGGATTGTAGGTGTTGCTTTGAGGGTTATACCTCTTTTGATTTTGGAAACCCAAAGCATTGATCTGTTCGACGTTCTCCTCTTGTAGTGTTGGGCAAGAGTCAGTGGGGTGCCCTTGTGTCGAGCATATGCCGCAGACCTTGACTTCTTTAGGTTTCGGATTTAAGAGAAAATCTTTAACCAAAGAAGTCAAGCCGGCTACTTGACTTTCCAATGAGTTATTGGATTCTACCGCCATTACTCATTTTGATGATCGCCGATCATAGTGCCTACAATTCTCGGCCAACTCCGAGATGAGGTTTATAGCTTGAGAAGGGGTCTTGTTGACAATCCCTCCTCCACATGTGACGTTTATCATCCGCCTATCTTCATTGCAAAGACCATCATAGAAATATAAGATGAGGTCTTGCTCCGAATAGCCATGATAAGGGCAGTTTGCACACAGTTTCTTGAATCGTTCCCAATATTCGTAGAACGATTCATCATCCTTCTGCTCCACGTTGCTCATATGTGTTTTTAGAGAGGATGAGACAGAGGCAGGGTAATACCTTTCCAGGAACGCTTTCTTCATGGCCGCCCATGTACCTATACTTCCTGAAGGAAGATAGAATAGCCAATCCTTTGCGGTATCCTTCAGTGAAAATGGAAACGCCCGCAGTTTGATTTGTTCTTCTGTCACACCGTTTGGGCACATGCTTGTGCAAACGACGTGGTACTCCGATAAATGTTTGTTCGGGTCCTCTCCCCTCAGGCCATGGAAGGATGGCAGCAAATGAATAAGCCCAGATTTTAGCTCAAACGTATTACCCTCATCAAGTGTAGGGAAGGTAATACACAGTGGTTGTTGGTTGAGGTTTGGAGCTGTGAGCTCCCTCAGCGTTCTTGTTTCAAGAGCCATTGTGGTTGGCTCTTCGGTGTCGCTAGAACTAGAGCTAGCGGTGTATGAGTCTCTGGAAGATGATTCTTCCGAGTCGGTGTTAGAAAATTTACTTTTCAACCGCTCGAAAGTTTGTTCTATTTCTGGGTTTTTGTGATATGTGAATTCGTTTATGGAACGATGTTTAACCATAAACTCCACTAAGCTCAGAAAATAGAAAAATAAACACTCTTTATATTTTTGTTTGATATTTTTTTTTTCTTGATATGAAATAAAAGAAAAATTAATTGCCAATCCCCGGCAACGGCGCCAAATTTGACGTGCACTTGTCGTTAGGTGCACTCAAAATAAATACAATACAAACACTAATACGTAGTATAGTGTAGTAAGGTTCGTATCCACAGGGAAATGAATACTTCTCTTTTATACAAATAGTAACAAAAGGGGGGTTTAGATTTGTTTGGTTTTAAAAACACTAAGATAAATAACCTATATGAGTTTAATTCAATGAGATGAGGACTTGGTTTTGCTTTTATCCACTTAATGAGATGTTCGTCGATCCCGGTTATATCTTTAACTATCTTCCTCTCGAATACTCAATCGAGGAGTATATCCAGTTCATCGAGGGTAGTTATTAATAACGACATGCGTTCATTAATAAAACTTACTATCGAGTCAATATAGAACAAGCGCCGTATATTAACTTGATAGTAGCAATAAACTTAAGATGAAAAACGATTGAGATTGATAACCTCAACACAAGCGGTTTATTGGTTCAATCAATATAATTAATTCCCCTTGGCATATTAACCATGAGATGCATGCATTAATATTCCAAGTTTACTACCGTTGAAAGAACCGGATTAATAACAAGCGTATTAACCGATTGATTCTAGTAATAATTAATATGAGAAACAATACTAGTTGATACTTTAAGTAATGTTTAAGATATTAACATGAAATATGAATATGAATTAATTAATACTCAAGGAAGAATATTAAAGAATATGAATCCTACTATGATTAATATCAAGATGTTAACTAATTGTCATCTTAGTAACACTCCTCAATATTAACATAGAGGAAGAAATAGCTATTACTATAACCAATGTCAAGATGTTAACTAATTGTCATCTTAGTAACACTCCCCAACTTTGATATAGAGATAGTATTTTAAAAGAAAGAATTAATATTCAAGGATGAAGATTAAAGAAAATAACTCACAACTTACAAATTCATTAAGCTTCAAAGTAGCAAAACCAAGATGGAAGAGTTTAGCTCCTCATTTGGAGACTAAACATGATGAAAAATATAAAGAAAGAACTATTCTATACTGAGCTTAGATGTACAAAGGAATTGGATATCTTTTTGTGAAGGAAAGGAGGTGTAATTATAGGCTTTTGGGATGGGATTCGGGTACTCGATCGGGTATATACATGGTACCCGATCGAGTATGTGTGTAACACTCGATCCGAGGTATACTCGACCGGTTTCAGGCTATTTTCCATAAGTATACCCGATCGAGTATATATTAATACCCGGTCGAGTATGCTTAGAAAATGGTATTCGGATCATACTCGACCGATCTTCGTTTGAAACTCAAAGGCATACCCGATCGGGTATGTCGGTCTACCTGATCGAGTATAGACATAAAATCATGGCTGAAATCTTCCCGGCATGTTCCCTTGTCTTCGGATCTGATCCGATTTGAAGTTCCAACCTAATACCCGATCGAGTATAGTTAATACTCGACCGAGTATAGACCAAAATTCAGGATCTTCTTTTGTCTTTGAACTTTTGCACCTTCTTTCCACTTTTTGGGTTCACCAACTGTACTTCGAGTGATCAATACCTGTTTGAGCTCAGAATATATCTAATCTAACCTATTTACAAGAATTTAACAAACTAATCTATTACACCAAAAGTGTGTAATTTCCATAGTAAAGATCAAGCAAAACTAATTAAAAACACAAACATAAATATGGAAATTAAAAACGTATCAGTCCCTAATATACTCTCACAAATGTTCTTCTCTGTATGCATTACATCTAAATTATGCCTTAACTTTAGCTTGCTCCAATAAGGCAAATTAAAAAAGATGCTACGTATACGTTTAGTCCAATTCAATTCATGAGACGCACGCTTCCTCTTCTTACTATCATGCTTTTCTGGTGTCAAATTTGTTAATTTCTCTAACTGTATCATGACATCCTCCCCACTCAATTCTATAGGTGCCTCACTGTGTTCTCTTTTACCATTAAACTTCTTGCTTCTTCTCCATGCGTGATCTTTCGGTAAATAGCGACGGTGCCTCATGTAACATAGCTTGCTTCGTAATCTTTGAGAATATGTTCGTTCATTACAAAGTGGACAAGCCATGTACCCCTTAGTACTCCATCCCGACAAATCCCCGTATGCAGGAAAATCATTAATAGTCCACAAAATAGAAGCGTGCATTTGAAAATTCTTTCTGGTAGAAACATCAAATGTTTCAGCCCCGTCAATACACATCCCTTTTAACTCTTCAATGAGTGGTTGTAAGTAGACATCAATATCCTTTCCAGGTGAATTAGGACCCGAAATCAGTAAAGACAACATCAAGAATGGTTCTTTCATGCAATCCCATGGGGGTAGATTCAATGGGGTTAAAATTACCGCCCACATGCTATAAGTTGTGCTCAAGTTTCCAAATGGATTGAAACCATCTGCAGCTAAAGCAAGTCTAACATTTCTAGGATCACTTGCAAACCGAGGAAACTCGTTATCAAAGTCTTTCCATGCTGCAGAATCAGCAGGATGTCTCATATAATCATCATCAATGCGATTTTCTTTATGCCAGACCATCTTTTCACGTGTTTTTATAGACATGAAAAGGCGTTGAAGCCTAGGTGTTAAAGGAAAGTACCTTAAAATTTTTTGTGGTATCTTCTTCGAGTTACCATCATCGGTTTTCCATCTTGAGGTTCCACAAGTTGGGCAGCTATCCAAACAACTGTTTTCCTTCCAAAACAGAACACAATCGTACTTACAAGCAGGAATACATTCATATCCCAACCCCAAGTCCCGCAACATTTTTCTGGCTTCATAATAGGAACATGGAAGTGTCTCACCATTAGGGAAAGATGACTTCATTAGTTTTAACATCATATCCATTGCTTTATCACTCAACTTATTGTACACTTTAATGTGTAGCAACTGTATGATAAAAGATAACCTTGACATTTTCTTACAACCTGGATATAGTTCTGTTTGAGCATTACTCACCAATGCCTCTAGATATATCGGAAGACCACCATTATTAATGTCATTTTCAGAAAACATATTATTATTGTCATGTTGATTATATTGTTGGCCAATGTCAAACAACATTTCATGAATATCATCCTCATCTTCTTTATCACTTTTTTCAAAATTAGTGTCTATTCCATCTTCCCTATTGTTATATTCATTCCCAAAAGTTCGCGAACTAGATGCTTCACCATGATAAAACCATGTAATGTGGCCAGGATCTATTCCACAAGATAAAAGATGATTCTTAACTGTTTTTTTATCTTGAATTTTCAGGTTCAAACAGCCTCTACAAGGGCATCTAATGTTTCCCTCTCGACCATTATTGGTTTCAACAAATTTCATAAAATTGTTTACACCATCCATATAAGCACCAGACCACTTAACTGCATGCATCCAACTCTCATCCATTTTATGCCCTACATAATATATAAGAATAGGTTAAAAATAAATGAGTACAAACAAAAGAAACTACTATACATACACTATGAATTAAACAAATACTCTGACTAAACGATACAGCGAGCAACATTATTGTTTATAAAAAAATAAACAAATGTTTCTAAACACCATTAATGACAGATAAATTGTTAAAATGTTAACTAAAAATACATAAGAACATAGTAATATTGGGTTCTCTCTGTAAAATTGAGTCGGTAGTTTATGAAAGAAGTCTAAATGAAGAAAGTTTCTAAACGAGTAATATTGGGTTTCTTGGGACTTTAGGTTGGACAAAAAGTCTAAATATATATATTTAGACTTCATTTAACTTTCTTCATTTAAACCCTATATATATATATATATATATTTCCTAACCATAGCGTCATCCGGCCACCTCAATTTGAGGTGCTTGCAGATGGAATTGTTTGATGAACTTTTGTAATCATATTTTCCATGATATTAAGATTATATTCACAAACTTTCAGCTTAATACTAAATCGAGAAGTCATTTTCCCATAGGTTTTATTCACACGCTTTTTATACTTTGGTTATCACAACATAGTCCAATTCTTGATATACTCGTTCTTTAAAGGAAAACTTATTTAAAATGAACAGAGAATAAAAACAATGACAGTGGGCTTTCATTAAAAGAAAAAGCCCTAGACAAAGAATTGCTTTCTCACAAAAAGCAACGCTTATAAAAAGAACAAGTCAAAAGCATATTAATATACGTTTGAGAAACTTATAATCAAGTAGTTGTACAAAATACATACTCCGGTAAACAAGATTTAGTTGTTTCAAACTGCCGCAACTAGTATTGATGCATTAAACAACATTTTTCGAGTAGAGAAAATTCCCTAAATAAAACTAAAACAAAAATGAAATTCATAAATAAGACTCTTTATTTTAGTCTCAAAATAGGACTCATTCACTTCTTTTTTAACCAACTTATTTTTTAGGACTATATAATTGAGTTAATTCCCTAAATAGGATTAAAACAATGAAAAAATGCACAAATAGGACTTCCATGTTCCATAGGACTAAAAATACATTCATTTGACAAAATTACCCTTAATGAAATTCTGGTCTATTTACAATTAATAAAAAATTTAAACCCTAGTTTAATTTGCCGCTTCCAGCGCACTCGGCAGAACCTACTGTCACTATTCATGTCGTTGCCGCTCTAGCCACTGCCGTCGCTCCAGCCACCGCCACTCCAGACGCCGCTGCCGCTCCAGCCGCCGCTGCTCCAGCCGCCGCCGCTCCAGCCGCCGCCACTACTTGTTCAGTGTCGCCGCCGCTTCAAGGACCACCAGGCGATGGCTGCCAGTTTTGAAAACCAAAAACTGTCATCTTGCTGCACCAAAACACCGTTTTTTCACATAAGAAGCAAATATAATAATGACAGTTTTTTCCTTTAAATTTGGCAGTTTGGCAAAGGTAATAAGAAATTTTCTGTCATAAGATATTAGTCAATTCTGCCATAAGATTGGCAATACATTCAAATTAATGTTCAAATAAAAAAAATTCTGCCACAGTATAATTTCCTGTACTACATGAAACTGCCAAAAACTTGTCAAAATGTACAACCGGTATTTAAAATCGGAAAAACATTTTTTTAACTGAAAATTTTAAATTCTTCCAAAAAATAATAAAATCAATAAGAAATCTGTTATATAAAGGAAAGATTGGAGGTGCACAAAGAAGAATAAGAACTAGAAGAATAAGAACGAGGAGAAGAAGAAGAAAAGAAGAAGAAAGAAAGGAGGAGTGAAAGAAGAAACCTGGAACCATCGTGGAATCAGGGGCAGCGCCTAAGGGGTGTAGCGGCGAGAGGAGAGGCACACTCCATGGCGCCGGCAGTCCTTCTCCTCGGCAAAGAAAAATCGAAGAGTTGCGATGCACATAGAGCAGAGCCGCAGGTCTGATGAGGCGCAACCCTGAAGACATAATTAGAAAACTAGGGTTTTGATGTTAATATATATGAGGGCATAATGGTAATCCGGAGTCTTATTTAGGGAATTAAAAATTTGTAGTCCTATTTAGGAAATTAAGTTTAGTTTTAGTCCTATATAGGACAATTACTATATATAATTCTTTTGTGCCTTTTCTTCCGTCATATCAAATAGCTACCAGACAAATGGTCAATATGGATAAAAGTTGTTTTATTACAGCCTCCATATTACATACGGCCACCATTATAATGATTGAGCAGATTCTGGAAATGAAGAGAAAAAAGCAGCGATTTTTTTTATAAAAATGAAGAAGTTTGCCGTCTCGACTCTTGAAACCATGGATCAAAACTTCTATTACATATCTTAGAAGTAATATATGTGTGCTGCTAAGGCTATACATTAAGATTCCAGGGTATTACAAGTCAAAACTTAAAATCCAGAAAACAACTTTTATTACTTACAGCCTTACAGGTATTCTAGACCCCTCTAATTAGAATGTATAGAGCATCATCTGTGCTCATCAAACCAATTTTGCTCTTTGGGACTTTTACAGCAGTCAAAATGGTTACTATAACTGGTCTGTACAAAGTTGAAAAGTAAGAGCTTTGAAGCCAACTTCGGAAACGGGTTCCAAACCGTAGCAAACAAGAAGCGGTTAAGAAGACTGAGATATCACTTGACTGTGATATCCAGATTTAAACTTGCTAGTTTAATGCATAGATAACTAAATTACAGCTTTTATTAAATTCAAATGACAAGGACTCTAGAGAACCATGGCAGGAAAGTTAAACCATCTAAAACAAGACACAGCTGATACGATGCTACTTGATAAATTAAGGAGACAAATTGCAATAAATATCAGCGAATTTAAAGGACTCGCCTTGGAGTCCCTGTCTTCGTCGCAAAAAAACCTGTTCCTGTATCAGTTTGTGTATCGAAGGCCGTGGCGATTATAAGAGCGTGATGATATGCAGCCGTTGCATCAAAGACCGGAAATTACTTTGTGTATCAATGATGGCAGTACGCAATTGATACGGTGACAGCCGGTTAAAGCTTGCTTCGATCTCCTCTTAGTTCTCCGTATGGAAGAGCTTAGGTCTCAATTGAATTTAGAAAGAAAGTAGTCAATGGATCGCAAGAGCTTAGGTCTCAATGGCAGAGCTTAGGTCTCCATTGAATTTAGTTCTCCGTATGGTTTGAGTAATTTTGTAATAGATACTTAATTTTGATAAAAAAATTTATTTTACTTTTTTATAATTTTAATCACAACTTCATAAATTTCAACACAATCGGTTAATTTAGCCAATTTTAGTGTTACCAAACAGACTCTAAAATTACGACGCATTTACATTAGTGTCATAACAGGGGAGCATTAGCGACAAAAAATTTGTTATTATTTTATAATAAAATATTAATGACAATATGATTATGTCATAAAAAAAATTAAGTGATAAAAAATATCGTCATTAATTATTCTGAATTTGTTACAAGTTTGTTTATGACAATGTTACCATTTGTCGTTTTGGGTTTCACATACGTTTATGTCACACTAGGGAAGTAATAGTGACGTAATAATATTGTGATTATTTTATAAAAATATTAATGACAACGTGATTTTGTCGTAAAAATATAAAATTTAAGTAACAACATATATCGTCATTAATTAGTCTGAATTTGTGACGAAAAATTTCACTCCTAAAATTGGGCGTTTATGACAATATTGTCATTTGTGGTTTTAGGTTTCATTTACGTTTATGTCACAAAATAGGGGAGTATTAATGACAAAATAACATTGTCATTATTTTATAGAAAAATTAATGACAAAATGATTTTTTCATATAAAAATAAAATTTAAGTGACAACAAACGTCGTCATTAATTATTCTTAATTTGTCATAGAAATATTCTCCTCCTAAATTTGGGCGTCACTATAAGAAATTTAATACTAAAGTGATATATTTTATTTTTCGCCATTAATTATAACAATTAGCGATGACAAATGAAACCTAAAATGACAAATGAAAATATTGTCATAATAAACCATTTTACAATGACAAACTGGATTTCGTCACTATTGATCAATATAATGTGACGAAAATTTCAGTGTCACACAAAAATCCGTCATAAAAAGTGTGATTTATTCTAGTGATTAAATATAGAATTTTTGTATCAGTTAGGTTACTCGGAAGAAGTTACAATGTCTAAGTAGATACATAGTTCAAGATTATGTGGATGACTACATTGTCTAAATAAGTATATGGTTTGGTTGGAACAACATAGTAAACAAATATTATAATAAGAAAATAAATTATTAAATATTATCCAATTCAATATATATCTGCTTATATAATAGAGATAATCCCCAAAATAAGAGTAAAAAAGTTTTGAAATTTCAAAATAGGAGTATCGTATTTTTTATTCCCTAAATAGACGTAAATTTCTGCCAAACATGGCATTACTAGGCTTTAAACCTGGCATTTTCTTCAAACTTGGAAGATTACTCCTGTTCAGGGAATAAAAAATATGATACTCCTATTTTGGAATTTCCAAACGCTTTTGCTCCTATTTAGGGAAATTTCTATCTATATATAATAACAGCCAACTAACGTTAGTATAGTCTTTTTTCCATCCAATATTTGCCGCCCATCCCCAAAACGTGTCGTCTAACTGTGTCAACAAAACTTCATGTTTTCAAAACGTCGATTCCCTTCGGCAGTTGTTCAACAGCAAAATTGTTAACGCATGATATGCAGTTCGTATAGAGGCTATGTGATAGCCGTTATATTTACTTGTGTTTAACATAAGTATTTATAAGTATTTGTTGAAGAAAAGAAGAGAAATTGGGAAAACAACTTCAAAATGAGAGCTAAAGCATAAAACATTGTGATGAACGGCTTTTGGGACCAAAAGGATGACGTTTTGCCCATAATTTGAGTATAACGTATTTTATAGAATTCGAAATCACTCGATTCGAGATTCATGTGAATGCTAACTCAATAAGGAACAAATGTTATAGAGACGTCATGGCCAAAATATGAAAGGAACAATACTCAATCAACAAACAAAGTCAGATGTTGCTGGTGGGATTTAAGGATGCATACCTCTCAGTGTTTTAGCCATAAAGTTTTATTGGATGAATAAAATCACGTTATTCAAGTTTTGGTGGATAGAAGACTTCATTATCTACAACTTTAGTGAAGGAATCATGTCAAAATTCATAGCGGAACATTCCCAAAATCCAGGTACAAAACCCGACACTTTTTGACCCATTCCGGAGGAAGAAAGCCAAAGTACAATTTTGGGCGCTGCAACCGGCGCCGGTCAGCCTAGAACCGGCGCCGGTTGGAAGGTCTTTTTACGCACTAAAAGAGCCTGTTTTCGACCGGGGCCGGTTCTAGACTGACCGGGGCCGGTTGGGACGATTTCACCTCAATCAAAAGGTCGTGCAAGAGGATTTTTGATGGGAAAACTTCACCTTCCTCATCTCTTGATCAAATATTGCTCCATACCTGATTGTTGGGCTCAAATAGACTAAAAGATGTCATTCTTTAGCCTATATAAAGCCTTCAATTCATCAAGCAAACACATTCCATTCCATAGATTAATTCTTAGCTTTTATATTTTTGTTCTTGGTATTTTCTTCAAGTTCTTGAGGAGGGAAGTTCATCCTGCGAAATCATTGGTGTTTAGGTATTATTTCCTTTGTAATTTCATGTTCCATTACATTTATTATTGTATTGTGATTAATATGAGCATTAGAGGCTAATTTCTTAGCTAAGGCTAGGGATGAACTTCTATGCCCACTAGGTGTTTGATAAAAGTTCTAAACCAATAAATTGTGATTTATCCTTTATATATTGATTGTTTATGACTATGGTGTACAACATAGAAGTATGTTAAATTTAGTTTATACTTGCAATTAACGTTGAAGTCTAAACTATGAACACTAAAGGATAAACATATATAGTACCGAGAATAGAAATATATCCGGTCTTATATGATACGGGTGTGATGTCTTGATATTCAACGGGGTTTTCGGTAGATGAATGTAAGCCGTAACAGGACTTACACATAACGAAAACCACGCTCTCGCTGCCTTAACCGGAGTTGAGAATATATTAGCGACATCGTATTCATAATTATTGGCAAAGAACTAATATTCAACCCTATTTAAGCATTTAAGTGATTCCCGAAGCCTTAGTTGTTGTTATCATTTATCTTGAACTCAAAGTTAGTTAACGATTATCTTGTTGAACAAAAAGTGAAAAAACCAAAAATATAAAACACAAATCAAAATCCCTGCACTTTATTCAATTCTTCATTTAACGTTATCTACTCTCGGACTTGAATTAAACAACGTTTCCTTGTGGATTCGACCCGGTATTTTACCGGAATTTATTACTATATCGGCATTTATACACTTGCAAGTTTAGCCCGATCACTATGACATGCAATTCGTACATCTCTTCCTCTTTTGTCGGGCTACCCTTCTGATTCTTCAAGTTAAGGTACTCAATCTAAATCTTTTGGATCTTTTAATCGGCTTGCCATGCAGTTATTCTGAAATTGCTAATTCGCTTGTACAAACTGAAGCATCCATGTGGACATGCTTATTAATCATGCGGGCTACTTCCCAAACCACATGTTTACCCATGTTGTTGAAGGGCTAGGTCGTATTATTGGACGAATGTAGCATAGTAGGTTGTTGTAGTTGTAGTTTTTTTTAAATGTAAATAAATCGTAGGAGGGAATTTCTGATGATTAAATTGTTGCTGAGTTTAAATTTAAATCTTTGAATTGTAAATAATCCGTACTTACCAAGCATTTCATGATTGTCCATTACTTTGGCAAAATGCCTAGCCACTTTTTAAAATGTAGATTACAGTTGTACATGTAGAATGAACTTTTGCATTTCAAACACACTTAACCCAGGAAGAAGACACTCATTCATTCACTTACAATCCTAAAATGTCTCATCTTTCTTTTACATGATCGTTATTTACAATACACTTGCTATTATTTGTCACCAGACAGAAAGAAAGGCATATTGCATTTAATTTTGACTCTTGCTTTAGCAATGAATTAAAACGACACATATTTTATTCAATGTAAAAAAATCACAAATTATCATTCGTAAGAAAAACTTACTTTGCAAACTTCAGTGCATTCCAGTTTTGAAAAAACAAAACATTATAAACATACTTTGCTGCTTTATAAACAAAGTAAAGTGCTTTTATGTGTCAATTCAAAGAGGATAAACAGTATTATCAAGCTTTAAGAATCATTTTGAACAAGCATTGTTCTACATATATTAATGCCCACTCAACAAAAGTCAAAGTATTATATAAATCATGTCCTTAACAACTACTAATTGATGAAAAAGTTGTATTAAGGACTTAAGGAGTTCCTGGATCCATTATCTGAAATTGGAAGTTTCAAAAATGGAATTTCCCTTATTAATATTGTCACTCACTCCACATATGCTAACAAAAAAACCTCCTGGTCCCCCCAAATAGCATGAACCCGTATAGAAATATAAAATGAATGTTTATCATGCCTTTGAGAGTATTTTATGATCCTTTGTCATGAATTACTATATAGCCTATAGGAAAGAAGGCTGCTCACACATTGGGCCTGGGCATTGGAGTTATAGTATGCATTGGGGAACTTCTAGAAGAAGGAAAGGCAGGAAACACCTTTGATTTTGTTTCCAACAATTGAAGGATTTTGCAGGTTAGACTTAGGCCAGAGTGTTTTCCATTGCTAAAGTATTGCATCTGCATAACTAAAGTACTTCAGAACTAAAAGCATATGTAAGGGAAGGGTGTTTAAAGTTGTATTTCACCTTTTTAAATTTTTATTGTAAAATTTCATCGATGTGATATAGTGATATACCTATGTTTTTTTTTACCAAAACCCCAAACTTCTACTTTTGAAAAATTACTTATTTTACAAAACACTGTCGGCATATATCATTTAGCACTTTCTCTATAATCACTAAAACTAACCACTACTCAAAAGTATAAGCAAAACCAAAACCACGGCCTTTGTTTTATACAGAGCATAATTTCACTTTCACCTTATACATTTATATTTTTGCTATACCACCCTTACCCCTTAACATTGCCTTGATTGTTAAGACTTGTTTTTTATTCAAAGTTCTGTTGCTTATTAATTAGTTTGGTGACGCATGGTAGATGCATGTCTTATAGACTAACAAGTTCAATAACAATGTGCATATGCTTTACCTTGTCATTGCGTATGAGCCTATATCGGAAATTAGAACTCGCAAAGTGTCCACACCTAAGCAGGCTCAAGAAGTGCATTAATTTCAGGTTTTCGATCAGTCCACACACACACAAACCAACGTTTCTATTGGCTTAGGAATTTAGTGAAGTTCTAGAATTAAGATTAACTAATCCCAACAAATGTTACCTTCTGGAATTGAAAGTAGGGCTACTCGGCCACTCGGGGGCCTATGTGTCACCTCATCGTAGCCTAATGACGACGTCCCCTTGATTGGTATAATGGTTTATTCAATAATGTTCCAAATTTCCTACCACGAAACTAGCTGAGCTACCTATGCGGGTATGATTTACTCAATATATAAAAAACTAGACGAATGAGACCGTTATGATATACTCCGTACTACGTGTTAATAATTCTTATATGAGCTCTTTAGAAATATGAGTTGGAATTGAGCCGTTAATCAAATAATAGGCTAGTTTGACTATTCCTTAATTTGTGTACAACCAAATTAATGTTACATTTTATAACATCACTTGTTATCTTCATTATATATTTCACATATACAACTCTTACTCTAATGTTTTTATGAACAACATCCACTTGTCTTGATAGAAGAAACATCATCATTTCCTCCAATGTTGATGGTTTGTCCTTTAGGCAAATTAGCAGGATTGTTGCTTCCATCCAAGGCTCTCCGGCTTGCCACACGGTATATCTGGGAAAGTACCTCTGTGAAGGCATTTTCTACATTAATCGACTCGAGAGCTGAGGTTTCCATGAAAAATGTATTCTCCTTCTCAGCAAATACCTTTGAATCATCTGTGGTAACTGCTCGTAGGTGACGTAGATCTGCCTTGTTTCCTACCAACATGACGATGATGTTTTTATCGGTGTGATCTCGAAGCTCCTTCAACCATCGGTCCATACTCTCAAACGTCACACGCCGTGTTATATCGTATACTAGTAAAGCTCCTACCGCTCCCCGATAGTATGCACTTGTTATTGCACGGTACCTGTAAACAGTATGGTATTTTGTCTATCTGTATCAATGAGAATATTGTACCGTCTCAAAAAGGTTCGTCATATTTACTTTTTTTTGGTGAATCACGACAAACTTTGAACAATAATTTTAATTAGTACTCCCTCCCTCCGTCCCTTAAAACTTTATCAAGTTTGACTGGCACGGGGATTAATAAAGTAAAAATTGTGTGATTGAAGTTTGTGCAGAGGAAAGAGAATTAACCGGAATCACAAATTCTTTACTTAAAAGGGAAAGTGTCAAAGTTAGTGGGACATCCAAAAAAAGAAATTTGGCAAAGTTATAAGAGACGAAGAGAGTATATTTGTATATAATTTATAAATTTTATACTTTTATGAAAATATTTGGAATAAAGAACAGTTTGATATAATTTTCATATTCAACATAATTTCATACTAAAAAATATCATTAATTAAAGTTGATTGTCATTGATCAAGAAAAAGTCAAGTTGGTGAACCTTTTCTGGACGGATGGAGTAATTTATTACTTCAAACGTAAACAAATAATGAAATACATAGTAATAAATTTGATCAAAAATGTATTGTACGTTACGTATGAAACCCCATTTTGTTCAAGATACCATAACATTCACCTGATATAAGTTTTTTAATTAAAGTTATTCATTAATTTATCGATTTACTGAATTTTACCAAGTATGTTGTACTGTGTTTTCTATCATGTCCATTGAGACGTAATATGGTGACTAATATAATTTGATTTTCTCATGATTGCATAGATTATATGGATTCCATCACTTTTTCAATTAACACTTATACCTATGGCACCAAAACAATGCTTTTGAAAATAGTAACAGGTGGTGCATATGTATGATGCAGTGAGAAAACGTTAAATATAGTAGCTAGACTTGAGAAAATTTGACCAACATAAAAGTTAAACTAATATAGGAGTGTAAAGGCATAAACCTAATGCTACGTATCAAATAAAGAAATTTTGTATCGGTTAGGTTACTAAGAAGAAGTTACAAGGTCTAAGTAGATATATAGTTCAAGATGATGTGGATAACTATACATTATCTAAATAAGCATATGATTTGGTTGGAACAAGATATTACAAAAACATTATAATAACAACATACATTTTTATATTATTATCCAATATACTAGTACTACGATTGATTGTAGTACCTACCAATTTGACCTAGCTGTTTAGGAAAAAATCAATTTCAATTTTTTTTTATTAATCTTTTTTGATGATCTTTTATTTTTAAATAATAAATTAACCCTCATTCGAAAATGATCCTTATCTTACACAGAAGAGCAAGAAACAAAGCTCACAATCTTCTCTTACATTATTTTCAAGTTTCCAAGATGAAAGTCGTGGAAAGGGTTGTGTTTACCAAAAGAATTAAGGGGAACCTGACTTCCACGGTCTTTGGGAATTTAGTATAGCAATGTTGGACAAGCAAGCATGACTTTATATAATCAAATTATTATGTATAAAATGTTATTAAATTTTTATTAATATGAATTTCCAAAATATTATTGTTTTATAATATTTTAATAATACATAATGAAATATATTACAATTAAAGTTATGCATTAACAAACATGAAAATCAAACTATTACAAATTTTAAAGAATAGAATAGTTTGTGTACGTCTTTGAGAAGTGTCATAGAAGCTATAGAAGCTCAATAAGTAGTTATAGAGGAATGAGGTGATTTGAAAGTGGGACCGAGGTCCAAGTGTGGACTGAGATTAGTTGCTAGTTTCAAGGCCAGGAAAAGTAACTTCCTAAACATGTAAATGACACGATGTTTTGGATAAGTGGTTAGATAAAGTAATTTAGGTAAAAAGGAGAAGAAAGATAAAATTTAGAAAAAGTTAACATATAATAAAAAGTAATTAAAGGGAGAAAAGTTGGGAAGAGAAAATTGTGAGACTTAACATGTAATTAGTAGGAAAAAAATTTTTGAGTAAAGGTGTAATTAAAAAGAGTATTTTTTTTCTTTCTAAAATGGAATGAAAACCTTTAAATGGACACCTAAATGAAAACCTTTCAACGGCACGGATGGAGTATATATAATACTGCGTAGAACTTCTCCCCAATAATTTTCCTCCATCTTATAAAATGTGTAGTACATTTTTTCTAACATATATAGTGGTATCATTCACATGTTATGACCACTTTAAGTGTAGCATTTTTTCTGTCAAGAGTCATCTTATAATTACTCTCTGCGCTCCTTGAAACTTTGTCAATTTTCCTTATTTGATTATCGCATTAACTTTTGTCACTTTCTATTTTAAATAAAAAAATTGTGCTTCTAGTTAATTCGTTCTCCACTACACAAATCTCAATTACAAAATTTTTACTTTATTAATTTGGTAGCAATTTTAAAAAACTGAAGTAGTACATTTTTCTACCAAAGTGGTACTCCGTATTTCTCTTCTCAAGAGTCATCAATGACAACTACAATCAATGTCAACTACAGACGGTGGGCCATCCAAATGATAAAGACATATCTTGGTCGCCAATAAATATGGGAATTTAATGAATAAGGATTTGAGACACCTGAGGACGACAATGCTCTTTCTTAAAACAAAAGAAGTCGTTGAATGAGTCCAGGATGAAGTACGATCGTGGAGGCTTTTTCAATTGTCCAACAAGGAATGGATGATGCTACATTTGAGAAGATTGCTCATACTACAAGAGCGAAGGGTTCATGGGAGAATATTGAGAAAGGATTCAAAGGAATTGATAAGGTAAAAAAATGTGTCTCCGATGATATATATATAGAACATGACCATTGGTGAGCTAACCGGTAAGCTTGAGGTTCATGAAGAAAATATCAAGTTAAGAAATAATGAACCACTAGGCATTGTTTAACAATCGAATCTCAACATTAAGCAAGGAGAAGTACATGGTAGTACTAGAGGTGAAAGTGGAAGAGAACATGGGTAGACACCATGGAGAGGCGGTGGTCGCGAATGAGCCGTGGCGGAGCTAAAAATCTACAGTTAAGAAGATAAGGCTTTGAAAATTTTACATTATGAGGACCAAAGTTTAAAATATCAATATATTTTCTTTAGATTAAAAGTATTTATTTATAATATATATTTCAGAATTTTTTTCTTGCGGGGGCTGAGGCCTCCTCCAGCCCCTCCCTGTCTCCACCCTGCAAATGAGGAGGATTTCACAATATGAGGAGCGAAAACACATATCGACCGGTGGTTGTGGGAGGAGTCTAATAAAATACTGTAGTATAATAAGTCTAAAGTGAATTGTCACTACAAAACAACACCCAATCAGCAACGGCTAATCTGCGACGGTAAAAACCGTCGTTAATCTGCGACGGATTTAGCGACCGATTAGCGATGGTACCGTTGCTAAACCGTCTCAAAAACCGTCGCAAATTTAAGATTTTTTTTCCCGTCGCTAGTCCGTCTCAGTGAGATTTGGTCTTCAAGTTTGGTCGATATTCCGTTGTTTTCATCTTCTTCTTCACATCTTCTGTCTATACAATAATGCATACGACCACTCTGAAAGAAAACACATCCCAGAAGTCTAACAAAAATGTTTAATACAGATAGAAGTTGGATGTATGAAAGATATGACCCATTTACAAAAAAAAAGTCTCTGATAGATTTATTAGTGGTGTCAAGAGTTTTGTTGAATTTGCTAGAGTTCAACATGAGTTTATGAGTGAAGAAACATTCGCTGTCCATGTCGAAATTGTAAAAATCGGAGTTTCTATGACACCGAAACCGTCAAACTTCATCTTTTTCGACATGGATTTCTCGCAGATTATTATATTTGGACATCTCATGGTGAATTATTACAATTCCAACCACCACCATTACTAGAGAACCAATTTGGGGAAGGAGATGAAAGTCATGGTGCCCATATTTCTTCAGCTTCTGGGACTCAACCTGAAACTCCCTGGGATCAAAGAATGCTTGGAGATATATTTGCAGGATATGTGCCACCGGTGGACACCACAAACTGTGTTCCACAAACCACAGGTCATGATTATAATAATGTTTCTCCAAATGTAAATGACGTTTCTTATTTGGCAGACCAATTTCATAATGTTCTACAAGCAGCAGATCAACCTTTATATGATGGATGTGAAGAAGGTTTGCAGTTTTAATCCTGTAAGTGTATATTGTATTTTGAATGATGGATATACAAGCAAGAAAACTGGACAATTGAGTGATCCAAGAGTTCAAGAGATAGCGGTACGTGTTCAGTAAATATTATTGTGCATTAAAACTTAATTGTATACATTATACTCTTAATATACATTTTATTAAGTTCATTTGGTATTAATATAAATTATAATTAGGACAAGCTCAAAGTTACGAAGGAGACTGTTTTGGAAACCGAGGGGGAGAACGCAAAAGTGGATAAAACGGCGCTCTATATAAAAACCGTGAAACCCAACCGAGGACGAATTTTGGGTTTGGGCTCTCTTGCCCCCGAATTATTGCGTACCGGGTCTTTGAAGTCCACACATTGTGCCTCCACACAAAGTAACTCCGAAAATGAATCTATTAAGGAGGAGTTGAAGGCCTTGAGGAAAGAATTGAAGGAGTTAAGAGAGCACGCGGCCATGCAAGAAAATATGGGGGGTCCATGGATGAATCCATTTCTCTATCATGGGTATGGTCAATCTACTTCTGATGGTCAACAACAAATGCCTCCCATGTTTCGTCAACAAAATACATCCTTTTATCCTCCCCAAAATCATTATAATTTTCCCCAACAAGGTTCGTCGGCTCCTCAACAAAATACATTCAATTTCTCTCAACAAGTTCCAACAACGCTCCCTAGCTCTTTTGGAGGTATCCCACAAGGCTCTTCTTCTCAACCTCCGCCCTACTATGCAAAGTCAACCATCCATGCCACCTACAACGCAACCATTTCAATTCATGCCTATACCAACTGCAACTCCAACTCCAACCAACCTTACTCAAGATGAAAATGCCAATTTTATTGACAATTTGTTTGCGAG